CTTAAAAATATAATTATTTAAATATTTTTTTGAATATTATAAAAGAAGTATTAAAAAATATTCTTATAAATAATTTTTTATTACTAAAAAGTTTACAAACAGAAAAAAATTATAAAATGAAAAAGATATCTAAAATTGATGGCTGCGAAAAAATCAAATTTAAATTCTCGGTATTTTTTTCAGTTTTATTGTCTTTTTCTTATTTTATTTAGACTTTATTTAGTTTCTTTCATCTAAAAAAGTAATGCAAAAGTTTTATATTCTTTATGTATTTGGCAATTAATCATATAATCTTTTTTTATAGAAAAATGACCTGCGTTGTTAATTTTAACAGTAAACTTTAGAATTTATAGTTTTTTTAAATTTATTGTAGTCATTTTGATTAGACTTGTCTATTTTTTTAATTATATTTTAGAATAGTATTTAATGTTGTGTTGTAGATTTTTTTTATTTTTTATTTATTGTAAATTCGAATTTTACTCTAAATATATAAAATATTATGATTATTTGTTTTAATTATATTAGTTACACATTTTTTGTAGATTTTTTATTTTAATTTTATAAACTCTAAGTTTTATCAATCATATTATTTGTTTTTTTATCTTATGTTTTTTCGATATAGGTGCATAGGCTAAATGTCAAAGATAGGTTAAATATTTCTTTTAAATAGGTTAGATTGTGTATTGTTTATTTCACCTTTAATAAAGATTTCATTACAATTATGCATTTCATTGTTTTTGTTTAAATCCCATATGAAATATCAATAATATATCAGTAAAGTCAATAATGTACTGACAAATTTACAAGTCATACAAATTTATGTTATGTTGAATTTTAATAAAATATTCAATCAAACTTGAGAAAAAAATTAAACTGTTTATAAATATTCATACATACGAATTATATATATGCATGATATATTTTATGCAAGTCAAAATCAAATACTATATGACCATTTGTCAATATAATGTTAGGTTAAAAATAGCTTAGATAGCCGCATCATTCTACATTTTACTGTTCGTGATTTTTGTTGATCTTTGTTGTTGGTACACCTACATTCTTGACATTTTCATGAAATCTTCTTTCTCTTTCGTTTGACCGTACAATGAGCAAGGTCACAAACTTCAAAAAGGCTGCGGTAATCCGCGTGTGCAAGAAACATGACTCGAACTGTCAAAATGTTGAAATAAAAATTAAAATTTTATTAAAATAAATAACTAGATTGTTATGTAATAAATACTTTTTGCAATTAAAAAGAATATTGACTATAATATAATATTGTCGATGGGTTTTATAAATATTATAAGTTCATTAAATATTTTGCACCTGTCAGTTGTAAGTTGTCAATACTGATTTGGCATTTCTATTTGTTGACAAACGTTTAGTGAAAATAATAATACTTCATTAAATTATAATCCAAAATATAAAATATAATCCAAACAAATGTTTATTTTATTGTGTTTAAAGAAAAATAATATATTTAAACAAATCTAACAGCAATGAGTCTCTCGAAATTAAAAATCAGCTTTTTATTTAACGATTTGACATCACAAACTTAGGCAGCTTTTAACCAACAATATTTATAAACTAAACGCACATAATACTTATGTTTTAATATTTGTATAAACTTATTCAACATAACGAATATACAATATAATTTATATAAAATCTGTCGCATTTGTATGTGCGAGGCAAATAATATGAAAAAGATCTTTGGGCCCATAGAAAATATATCAAAAATACTTATGTTTTATTCATCTATAAATGTATGTATTCTAAAATTGTGATTTTTACTTTTGTTTCTACTGATTTTTAACTTCCCGAAGGAGAAGTTTATGTTTTCATCAAAAAATCCGATTCGCTAATTTTATGTTTTCTCGACGTTTGAAGCCATTCTGAATCGAATGAGACCAAATTTGGAAAAAGTATGTGTGTGTGTGTGTGTGTGTATGTGTGTGAACAGATTTTTCGCCGTAAATCGACGTTTTCTCCAAAACGGATGGACCGATTTTAAAAATTTGAAAGCCGATCGATGTATCTCGATGAGGAGTATCTCTTCCGAGTTTTGTGCGGCGATCGGCCGGGCCGTTTCTTTGTAAATTGCAGAAAAGTGAAAAATTTTTCGTCCACGTTTTAGCCCGCAATTCTGAATCGATTCTGAAAATTCAAAAACCATTCGATAGATATTGGTTGGGAATCGTGCTGATTAGTTTTGGGTAAAGATCGGCCGGGCCGTTTCTTGTAATAAAGTTTTAAAAAAAAAATTTCGACGATTTTTATGATTTTTTTTTTTGACGGTAGATACCATAGTTTTCTAGGTCATACTAAAATATTACGGCCCTACGACAACTCGTTTAGCTTTAAAAATTCGTCAAAGTTTGCAAAAATTGGTATCGTTATTTTGACATTTGTCAAAATGAGATCTTTGATCGACGTTTTCTCAAATATACCGATTTCAGAAATTTAAAAGCCATTTGATTTAAAAAAATTGAACAACCCAGATAAAGAAACAAAATTTAGATCCTTGTGTTGTAACAAACTTTTATCTTTCATCAAAAATAATAATTCAAAATTTAGTTCCCTTCCTTTACATTCAGAAATTGTTAGAGATTTAAAAATTTGCAAAAAGTTTTTGAGGGATAATCCAGATATCTTAGTTACCAGAGCTGATAAGGGCAATCTTACTGTGGTTTTGGATAGGTCGGATTATTTTTCAAAAACTTATGCTTTATTAAACAACGAAACCTTTTATAAACCTTTAACTAACGACCCCACCGATCATTTAAACAGACAAACGCACAAACTCATTGGCAATTTAATCACAAAAAAACAAATCTTCAAATCATTAGGTTTTTCTTTAAAAGTTTTTCATACCAGTTTTCCCAAGTTGTATTGTCTTCCTAAAATTCACAAACCTAATTTACCTCTCAGACCTATAGTTTCCGACTTGAATTCTCCCTTAAGTAAACTCTCCAAACATATCAGCTCCATTCTCTCTAAGGTTACTGTTTTATCTAAATTTAATGTTTCCAATTCTTTTGATTTAGTAAAAATTTAAAGAATTTTACAATTCCTTCCAATTCTTCCTTTGTTAGTTTTGATGTCATTTCCCTTTTCACGAACATTCCTTGGGATTTGGCTTTGGAAGCTGTTTCTGCCCGCTGGAATGATATCCAACCACACACTTCGATTGACTTGGTTTGGTTTAAAACGATTTTAAATTTCATTTTTGTTAACACGTACTTTTGTTTTGATGATCAATTTTATTCGCAGATTTTTGGTTTACCCATGGGGTCTAGTATTAGCCCCCCTGTGGCTGATTTAACACTACAAATTTTAGAAAATTTTGTTTTATCTAATCTTTCTGTTCCACCTCACCTTTATTATAGATATGTTGATGACGTTCTGTTGTGCCTTGATGATTCTCAGATTGTAGACACATTAGACTCTTTTAATTCTTTTAACAAACATTTGCAGTTTACCTGTGAGATTGAGTCGGATGACTCTATTAGTTTTTTAGACCTAAGAATTACTAAAAATAAAGTTAACAATTCTGTCCTGACTGATTGGTATCAGAAACCAACGTGGTCAGGAAGATATTTAAATTATTTGTCTTTTCATTCGCGTTCCATTAAAATTTCTGTCATTATCTCTCTTATAGACAGGGCTATTTTACTAAGTAACAGTATGTTTTGGGAAAAAAATTTGACTCTTATTCGTTCCGTCCTCAAAGACAATAGTTACCCTTCGCACTTGGTCAACAACATCATTAATAATAGATTAATTTGTTTACAAACGAATTCTAATAATTCATTTTCACCTTCTTGTTCAAATTCAATAGCTTCCTCTTCCGCCCAATACAAAGGAACTATCTGTTTACCTTTTTTAAGCAATTTTTTCATATTTTTTAAAAAGTTATTTTCTTCAGAAGGATTCCGATTAGTTTTTAGTTTTGATAGTACTTTAATTGCCTTTTTTCGATTCTTAAGTCTAGAACCCCGTCTGATAGGGTCACCGATTCTGTTTACAGGTTGGATTGCAATGATTGCAATATGTGTTATATTGGAGAAAGTTCCCAGTATATTTATAAGAGAGTTAATCAACATATTTATAATTCAAAAAATCCAAACCAATTCAAAACGATGTTTTCAGATCATATGCTCAATCTCAATCACACTTTTAACACTTTACATCCTGTTATTCTTTATATCGAAAAAATAGTGACCTTAGAAAATTTGCTGAATCCTTTTTTATTTCATTAAATTCCTCCTCTTGTGTTAACAAACGCAATTCATCCCACCTTTTACATGATAGTTACCAGATAGTTATTGATTTTATTAAAAAACAAAAAATTAATTTGCTTATTTTTTTATATTAATTTTTTTACAATTTTGTTTTTTTTGTTCTAACTTTTACTTGGTTTGCTTTTTCCTTTTGATCAATCCCAGTTCAACCTCTGTGTTCGATGCGTTTTCGTGCCTCGTAGAATTTGTTCTTGATGCGTCCCCTCCCATTCCTATCAATACGCCTATTGAAATAATTCAGTCCAGTCTAGATGCTCGGTATGGGCGTGCTTCTAGCTTCACAATGATGTATTTCATAACTTTTAGTCAAATTAGTTTTCAAATCTTTTAGTTATTCATAATTTTTTCTAAAAAATGTTTTTTTCTCTAATATGTTATTAAGTTTAATTTTTTAAAATAAATTTTTGTTGAGTGTTTTTGTCCTGTGGTGTGTATAATGTTTCTCTATGCTATAATTAATTTTTGTTGTTGTTTATATTAGTTAATAAAATTTTCAAATTGTTGTAGTTGCTGAATGATGACACGCATCTTGTGTCGAAACGTATAAATAAAAGTTTTTATACTTTATACCTTTTTATTTCGACGAATGGGCTGCTAGTTACTTTGAAATATATATATATATATATATATATATATATATATATATATATATCATTGTTATCATAGGCTGTTTGATAGACTAGTTTAGAACAACAAATGGTTATTTACGAAAAACAAGTGTTTGCTTGTGATCTCTGCTGTGAAGGTTTCCTTCATGCTACAAGCCTAGAAAAACATAAAGGTGAATACTTTATATATTGCATGTAATTTACATATACTAATTTATTAAATAACATATTTTTTGTTTTATTTTTTTAGAGTTACATAGTAAAAATGATGCTTATGCGTGCAAGGTTTGTAATTGTTTCTTTTTGAATCAGGAAACACTTTTAGTTCATAAAAATACTCATCATAAAAATATAATGACTCAAGATATTTTATCAGAAATTTCTGATGATGTTAAACCTTTATTAAATGTAATTAAAGAAGAAAAGCATGACAACTCTGTTGATTCATTTTCTCCAGAAAATGGTAAACGAATAAGAGGTCGTCCAAAACAGGTATTTGAAACAACACTTATTTTTTCTTTAATGAATTCACAATATTTAGTTCATTGTTTTGTGAACTTAAATATTTCTTGAACACATAGTTTAAATAATATGTAACAATATTATTTCCAGTCACAAGGGCAAAAAGTTGGTCATCAATGCACAATCTGTATGGAATTTTTTGATAAAAAGCTACAATTAAAGAGACATACTATGTCTGCTCATCGAGATAAGCTTGTAACAGTCGAGTAAAACATCTCATCTTATATTTAATTCAATTTATTTATTTATTTAATTATTTAATTATTAATTAATTATTAATATTGTTTACATTGCACCAATGTTCAGAATGTGAGAAAACATTTTCAAAAGTTGAATTACTGAAGAGGCACATGAAACAACATTCAGTTCAAAATTATTCATGTGATGATTGTCCTAAAACATTTAATAAGTAAGTTAATTGTTTATATTTGATATAAATACTGAATGGTTATGTATACATCTTGTGTATTTTTAAAGATTAGAAAAGTTGACTGAGCATAAAAAATGGCATACTGGTGAAAGATCTTACTTATGCAGCAAATGTGGAAAAGGATATTATAAGCAACCACATTTGGATAAACATATGCTTACACATCTAAAGGATCATTTGGAAAAACCAGTAAGGAAAAAATACCATATTTACGATAATTTATAAATACTACAATTACTAAACTTTTAAATACTGGTGTTGTAATTACCATAATTATAAGTGCACATATGCTTTATTCATTCAAATAATATTTATAAAATAAACTAGCTGTCCCCATTCACGCTTTGCCGTGATTTAGTTTAATTTAAAAGTTGATCCTTGGACTTCAACGAACATTTTAAAAAAGAATCGGGCAAATTGGTTCAGGCGTTGTTGAGCATAAGCTTACCAACACATTTTGTGATTCATTTTTATATATAAGGGTGTTTATTATTTAAGTTTAATATGAAATATATGTACGTGTATCAGTGTACATTTTGTGGTAAAAAGCTAAATCATTCAAATCACTTGCAAGTACATATGAGAACACATCGAGATCGATATGGACAGCCTTTATTGCCACAGCCACCAATCCTAATAAAAGGTAAAATTTTATCACATATTTTCATAATAAGTAATATTCATGTTACTTATCATTTTTCATATTTTTATTCCATATTATATTATTATTTTTCATTACACATTAATTTAGATCATTTAGTAGATTATTTATCAGAATACATTATACATTATTTATTAATAATGTATATATTTATCAATGAATTGTTTTTTAGATTCATAGATAATAATTTATATATAAACTTTATTTAATATCTAAAGCATTTTGGTCTCATTAATATAATTAATTTGTTCTTAGGTAATATTATGTAGTGTTTGTGGTAAAAGTTGCAGTTCAAGAAGTAATTTAGCCGTCCATATGCGGAGACATACTGGTCAAATGACAAATTTTTGCAAAATCTGTGGTAAAGGTTATCCAAGAACTACAGATTTTACATTGCATATGAGGTATAGAAATAATTATGCAAATATATACTTTTTATAAAGTTTATATGAAACAAAAATGTGGTACTCAAATACTATCTTGTTCTGGCTTATATTTACAATATTTGGTCATTAAGTTTCTATTACCAGCAGATTACTACTTTTATTTGTTTGATTATTTAAATACATAAAAACTAATATGCTTGATTAGTAGATTTATGAATTCTTTAAATGCTATGGATTTTACTTTACTACATTTTATCTATAACAATAAGTTGAGAATGTGTAATTATAAATTTAAGTATTTAATTCATTTTTAAATAGTTCTTTATCCTGTTATAGAAAGCCATTTATAGTCATTAATTTTTTTCCAGAAACATACAGGAGAAAAGCCATTTGTGTGCAGTGTTTGTAACAGAGGATTTGCACGATCTGATAAGTTAGCTATACATATGAGGACACATACAGGTGAAAAGCCCTACGCTTGTATGGTTTGTGGTAGAGCATTTGCCCAAAGAAATGATTTAGCATCTCATAAACGGAGAATATGTGTGGACAGAGTCCTGCTGCCAACCAAAATGTGATCATTCAAAGTTCTGCTAACACCCTGGACAAACTGGTTCACAGACAAGTCAGGCCAGAGCTGCTGATTTGGTTTCTGAAGTTGTTCAAGGGTATTTGAAGTATGAATTTCTTTATTATATAATTTTATAAACAATTTTATAAATGATCAATAATTTATTCATATTCATAAGATATGTCATGTATTAATCAATACTATCTACTGGATTCAGCTGTATAATATAACATGAAATAATATGTATTTGAATAGATTAAAAAAAACTTCTTTTATATACTACTATATAATAATTTAATTGATATGAAAATAAATATATATATTTTTTTTATTAATTTTTAGGGTTCCAGAGCTGGCACTTCATCCCCGAACAATTGAATAGCACAAGGAAATGTACATAGTCGAATTGAATATACAGATTATACTACTGCAAACATACTACAAAATTTTTCCAATGGCCATTTTATGCGATAAATATAATTTATTGCAGTTACCACAAAAGTAGATGATAAATCAACTAAATAGAGTAGTGTTAAAATGATACTAGTAAAGTAGTTAAACATTATTAAATTTAAATATTAAAGTGTTAAAGTAATAAGTAAATAAAGTATTTGTATATTAAAAGAAGTTAGTCTTTTTGTAAAAAAGAGTATTTTATTTCTTTCAGGTGTGTTGTAGTTTTAAGGTAGTATGTGGCAGTTGGGGGTGTCCATGTAAATTCTACCAAGGGAACAGTCACAATTATTAATTAAAATGTGACTGTTCTCCTAATACAATATTTTTTGTACTAAATCCATTTTATTCTACCAGGGAAACAGTCACAATTTTTTATTAAAATGTGACTGTTTCCCTAATACATCAAAACTTTTTTGCTGATATGTAAAATAATGGATATAATCGACAACGGCTTCCCAGTAACTGTTGCGATACATGATGATGATATAATATATATTTATATTGTCTGAAAATTAATTGTTTTACCTGAAATAAATAGTGTTTATATTTTTTAAAATTTTATATAGAAAAAAATGTACTGTGATATATTAAATATATATTTATTACATTATATAATTACATTACATTTTATGTTATATTATAAATTAATTATAATATGTATATACTTATATTATTACTATAGCTTATATTATATAAATAATTTATTTATATTTTTGTTTATAACTTTTATTAAAAATAAATATCATCAAACTTATACTTATAATTTTTAACTAATTTATTATAAATAAAATAATTTATTTATAGAAGCTTATTACATATAAATATTTTCGTTCAAGACAAAAATACAACTGAAATAATTAAAAAAAAAAACAATGCGGGTAATAGAAATTTTAACAAATATATTCATTATACTTTATATATTTCTATTCACTAAAAAATATTTCAACACTTATCAAATTATTTATATCAATAATTTATTCTATTTAATAAATAATACACTTATCATTAATAATATAAATTATTTCATTTAAAAACATTTTATTTATATTACTATTTTTTATTTATAATTTATTATTCATTATCATAAATAAAAAAACTACAAGTATTAATTAACCAAAATATTTACAGTACTAAAAATTTTTTCATATTATAATCATTCATTTTTATAACATAAAGAAAATTTACATATTCATTATATTTATTTTACTGATAATGAAAATTATTACGAAGCTAAAAAAGAATATGCCATGGTTCTGTTGTGCCAATCAGCGTAAAAACGCGTATATTTATTAAATATTACCACTGAGGAAGTTTAGAAGTAAAAAGGAAACACCACCAACACATGTAACAAGAACTTGAATTTTATTTAATAATATCAGTTACTTTGTAAACGTAGATTATATGAGATTTTTTTGAGATGTTATCTTCAAGACGCCGCGCAGTGCAAAGAGAGCTAGATCCCTCTCGTCCTCGATCGCTTCGAAGGGCATCGAGAGTCCTCGGAATCTTCGGGTTTTTGTGTGTTGCCTGCGGTCTAGCGTCCTAGGCACAGAGTTGCGAATATATTTTCAAAAATTGGCGCGACAGTTCAAAAACGAAACCGACGAATTATGATGACTGGCCAAGAGAGCATAAGTATGACAATGTAGACTTCACATTCGACAAAATGAAGAAATTCATATGATTAGGGAAAAACACAATAAATCGAAATTTTCTGAAGGCGATGGGTGTCCACCAGACCCTTCTTATGATTTTCTCAAAGATGCTGATCGAGACTACAACCATATTGAACAGGTAATTAGTTTTATCTTTATTAATGTAATTTAGTATTTGACCATGATGTCTCAAATTCAGTATCATTGTATATAGTTGATATCATTGTCTAACTATTTTGTTCCTGGTAATTAAATTAGTACTAAGTATATTTTGTCATTTACTAGATTCACAATAAAACAAATGCAAGTAAAACTAGCTGTAAGTGGATTCTGTCTGTCTTGGCAATTATGGCATCGTGCCTTAAGGCAAATTGCTGGAACTTCCCGTACCGTAACGAAATGTTCGAGGAATACTGAATGTTTTCAAATAGATTATTATAAATATTGTAACATTGTCTAATATTTATAAGAATAATATAAAACTGAATTGCAGAGTTGAAATTAATTGTAAAGTATATTAGAACTATAGTCAAATTAAAATAAAATCTGAATATTTTCGATATACAAAAAACTAAAAAACTAAAAAAAAAAAAAAAAAAACGGAAATTTTTTTTCCAAAATCAATTATTTTGTTAAGACAAGCAGAAAGTTCTTTGAATCATTTAAATCGGACGCTTAGTTCTCTCAAAAACTGCCATTTTTAACATATTTAGCTCCGTATCTTCGAAATGGCTGGGCCTGCCTTTGCCAAAAAAAATAAACACTTTTCCCAATCATTACTAATTGCATATTTTTACATCATTCAAATCGGATACTCCGTTCTCTCAAAAATTCGATTTTTATTTTCTGCACTCTTTGCTCCGTATCTCCGATACGGCTGGACCTGCCTTTGCCAAAAACTAATCAGCTCTTTTCCCTATCAATAGGAATCGAATGTTTTTTGAACCATTCAAATCGGTTGATCCGTGCGCCCGAAAACGTGACTGGAAATTAGTATCCATACATACATACACACACACACACACACACACACACATCCATTTTTTCTGAGGTATGCCAAAACGTCAGAAACCTTCAAAACGTCGAGAAATGTAAAAATTTTCAATTCCGATTTTCGGCCCATTACAATAACTTACCCTACGGGAGGTTAATAAATTGCAGGATAATTGAATTTATCGAAAATAAATTATTACAAATTTCAATTGATAACAATAAAGGCCATGAAAATTGTAAGATTTT